CCCTCGCGGCTCTGTGGCGATAGTTGTAGGTTNTGGGGAGCCCTCCCAAGCACGTCCAACAGCGGTCTGTACATAGCGGCGAGGTGTGTGTGTCGGTGACGGCGTGAGGCTGCGTGGCGTCCGACGACAGTCCGGCGGTGAGGCTATCGCAGGTTCGCGGAACAAGCAATGTGTGCACTGCGGAGGCGAGTGGGGGAGAGGCGGACTGTGAGCTGCCGGCGCTTTCACTTTGTCAGTGTGCTGTGGAAGGGAAAGAGCCCTTGGAGCCTGCTGTGGTTTGCCGCTTTCTGCTCTGGGCTGCCGCCAAGGCGTACGAGGAGGAACACGCCGAATCCTGTTTTGTCGCTTTTTTTTTCTTTAAATGATGGTGCTGATGCCTTGATCAGTCCCTCTATCTCTGCTTCTCTCAGCTTTTTTTTTCTTTTGCTTTCGACGGGTCACCGCCTTTCTACTTGGCTGCATGGGTAGAGCACTGTAGCTGTTTTATTCATTTAACTGTTTTGGTTTCATTTCTTTTGATGGACCACCTTTTTTCCTCTCATTATTCCTAGATTGGTTTCTAAGAGAATAGTGTGTGTGCGCTAGTCGATCCACGTGTTGCTGCGTGTCCCCACTGCTCGGTGGACATGCCTGCACTTCGGCTTCGCTTCACGGGGTTTGTGGTTTATGTTTTTTTTTTTTTTGGTTGACTGCACCCATTCCGCGGGCTGCCTCCGCCTGAGGCCTTTGTTTCCTGCGGGTGCCTGCATTTTTTTTTTTCTTTGTGAGTGTGTGTCTATCTTTGTGCCATTTTTTCCTGTTCAAGTTGTCAGTCTTGATTACCCAAGCAAACCAAGAAGCACACTTTTCACACGCACGCCATGCTGCGTTTTCTCCGTTCTCCGTCGCAGTTTGCAGGGCTGCTGATGGTAATTGTGGTGGCAGTGTGTTGTGGCGGTAAGTGCCTTGCCACCTCCCTGACGTACCCCTGCAGCTTTGACGAGGTGATGCGGGGTCGTGGCAGTTTGACGTCTACTCCGGTGGTGGTGAGGGAGGTGCCTCTCAAGCGGGGTGCGTCGCTGGTGCACAGTGTCGCTGGGAAGGAGGGATGGGAGCCAATCCGCATTGTGGTGTCAACTAAGGACGTGAATGATAATAACAAGCACTGCGTCTTCTCGAGGAGTTCCAAGTCGAATCTATTGGGCGACAGGTCCGCTGATTGCAGACATGATGCACTGTCTGCTGAGCAGAGGAGAGTTCTCGCCGAGAACGTCATCCCCGCCGCCATCAAACTGCACGCGGACCGTCTTCTTGTCGAGCCGCTGAAGGGTCCGTTGAAGGTGCCAAACTTCCCCCGTGGCAGCATTTGCGGCCAGTTCACGGTGCCTCCTGAGCACCATTCCAAGGGCGTTGACAATGCCGACATGGTGCTGTACGTGGCGGCTGCGCCGGGCGGTGTGTGGGCGTTGCCGTGCGCCACGCTGGAGAATGGCCGCCCAATCGTTGGGGCTGTGAACTTTGCCCCGGCGGATTTGTTTCACGGACGCCTCGCCACCCGCATCGCTGCGCATGAGATCGCCCATGCCTTGGGGTTCGACTACGGGAAGATGGTGGCGGGCCGCATGGTGAAGAATGTGACCGGCGTGCGTGGCAGGGCGTTGTCGGTGGTTGTGAACTCGACGAACGCCGCGATGGCTGCGAGGGAGCACTACAACTGCGACAACATTCAGGGCATGGAGCTGTATGACTTCAACGGGGACGGGACAACGCTGGAGTCGCACTGGTCACATCGCAACGCGAAGGACGAGCTGATGGCTCCGCTCGGGGGTGCCGGCTACTACACGGAGCTGACGCTGGCCGCCTTCGCCGACTTGGGCTACTACAAGGTGAACTGGGCGATGGCGGAGCCGATGGGTTGGGGCAGGCGGTCGGGGTGTGACCTGCTGGAAAAGAAGTGCTCTGAACTCGTGAATAAATACCCCAAAATGTTCTGTCAAGAAGGCGATCCCCACCTGCGCTGCACATCGGATCGGTATTTCAGTGGTCGGTGCACAAGGAGTATCATTGAAGCGTTGCCAGGAGGGCAACGGGATCTTTGCAACATCATTGACCCTGCATTGAACGTGAAGGATCTTGGTGCCGTCTTTAAGGCGGGAGAGCAATCACCTGCGAGGCCTGGCGACAAGCCCTCTGCGTGGTGTCTGGACACGGTTCCCACTGAAGGGAATGATGAGGACGGAGGCAGTGCCGCGATGCATACGGAAGTAAAGTGTCTTGGCGCACAAGTGTTCCTGCAGCGGACGAAGAGTGGTGGGGTCGATTGGCTGCCATGCACGATCGGGGCAGGGGTTCCGTGGGAGATTCCACCCTACGACGCTAACAAGGTGATTTGCCCCCACTACGATGAGGTGTGCACGATATCCGCCACTGGCAGCAGCGTTAGCCCAGCAGCCGAATGGGACGGCGAAGAGAAGGTGTGGAAGAGAACAGCCCCTGCTGCCCCTGTGGAGGAGCCAGCGCCAGCGCCAGTGCCGTCAGTGAGTGTTCCCGTTGATAAGCCCAACAGCGGTGGCGGTGAGCAGTCTGGACGCCCGCCGCCACCACCACCACCACCACCACCACCACCGCTGCTGCCACCAGCGCCAGCGCCAGGCCCACAAGAGCAACAGCCAGCTGATGGCAGCGAAGGAAATTCTGAGGCAAGAAAGGCGGAGCAGGGGCACACCGCAGTGCCCACCTCTCACAA